GAATAAACCTTTTTATTGTGAAATCATTGAATGAATGGAGCCAAATTTTCTATCTTATATTGTGTTCTGAGATGCTCCGTAAACTTCTCTTTTGTAGTGGTTAAATTGAACTTCTAACGGTGTATAGTAAATTTTACCCAACCATTCGTCTCTCTCTCTATCTTCGTCTCGTTGTGTTCCGCTTTTTTTCTCGTCCTCACTGTCTTTTCGTTGTATCACAACAGCAGTCGGTAAACTTGGAAATTTCGACTAAAGACCATGTCGTTGATATTTAATCGATGTCTTCCAACTTTTCAATTAATAACTAACTACATATGCAAGCAACATAACACTGTACTCATAGAGAAATCACATTTCTCCGCTTCTAATGAGTTAACTAAGATCAGTACAATACAACTGTAGCTAGTTGCTAGAGCAAGAAGTTGAAACGGCAGAAAAACGCACACTTTTTGTTCCGATACGAGGACTACACATAACCTCGAGAATATACAAAACGACCATCAATAGAGTGAGCAATAGCGTGATCTGAGATGTCAGTGGTTAGAATTCCGTAGGGTATAAAAATCACTTGTATATTCTAAACATCATAGTTTCATGCGGTATCATCGAGTTGATTCTTTCTATGAAATAAAATACACTTGAGCATCGAACATCATGTGGTGGGGACGGCTCATTAACACAAGTGCTGGGTGAATGGCAGAGCAAAGAAAACGATTTATGGGGACGAAAACTGGATAAAAGCTTCGAAATCTCTGCAACGAAGGACATGAGCCTTCAAAAAAATCAGTATTTCTCTGGAGCTCAAATAACTAGTCGAAAGCTTGAATCTCGATGGTTCTGGAAATGTACTTGTCTTTTGGAAAGGCTAATGCAAAGCGCTGTATTACTAGAACTAAAATTGTGTCTCACACGCGTCACACGTTATCGCGCGTATTTTTCGCAGAACAGTGCTCATTCCGTAAGCTTTTAGTTATCAGTCAATAGCTTAACTTCGAGGGTTCCAGAAATTACCATATTCCTTAGAAGACTTTTTTCACAGTGCTGTAGAAGGTGCAATAAAATTGTGTTCCACATGCGCCGCGCATTGACACACGCATTTTCATCATTTACTTGAAGATTTTCTCTCCATCTCGCAGAGGTTTTTAGCTTTTCTGCATTTTAACTGTAGAAGAAACTTTTGTCTACCTTTCTGTTTTTGTAGGCTTATTACATTATCAAATTAAACAGCTAATGTGCGCGAGCCTTAGCTTAGGTCTGTGCACGGAAAACATATGGAAATGTAGAGTAAATATTGGAGCACCAGAGTCGTGCGTTTTATCCGAGGTTTTTCCCAAAGTGGGGAAAGAACTCAATGATCTACAAAAAGAATTCATGTGAATCGTGCCGTCTCATGTGAACTGCGCTGCGCCACGATCGTGCGCACGATCGCTACACTCTGTCACTCACATGCTTTAGCAAAAAGGCAATGCGTGGTAGATGTGAAGCTAATATTTTATCGTTGCTGTAGCGCAGCTAAAAGGTCTTTTCAGAAAACAAATGCAGTGTTGAAATTGCCAAGACTTACGCTAATGGATTACTACTATTGCTCTGTGAAACTCAATTTCATTTTTTTCTTTGCTACAGCGTATTCAAAAAGTGTTTTCGGAAAACAAGCCCAGCTTTGAATTTCCCAAGACTCACGCTGCCGAATAGTTACCTATTTTTTTTTGGAAAAGAGCTCTGCCCTACGAAAAATATACGCGATAACGCGCATCACTTCTAAAACACATTTCTATTTTTAGTGCTATAGCGCTAAAAAAAGATTCCCACAAAAGCCAGTATACTTTCAAAATCTCCGAGATTGAAGCTTCCAAATAATTTGCGGAAGTTTAGTGGAAGTTTTTTAGACAGATAGACGGTTTCTTCAAATATCGTGGTAGAATGTTTTGAACCTTTCGAGAGGTCATGTATAGCATTTCGAATGATAGACGTAGTTTTCGAGTTCTTGCTTTCTTTATCACTCCCATATGCCATTCGGTTCACGTCACGTGAAAAATCACTTGATGTTGCGGTCTAGAGTAGTCTTCAGCAGGTCGCTACCAGCTGGTAGACGGCATATAGCAATACCTTCCAGTCGACAATTTTGAGACATCACTCAAAGATTTCTCATAGCCTGATGAAACGTTTTAGGCCTTCCAAAAGGTGCTAATGAAAGCATTGCGGCAGTTGATATGTTGCATGAACTGGTTGAGAGTATCTACCTTCATTTATACCTCCATAAAGATTATATAACGGCAACTATGCAATTTTGCATAGGGCGACATATTTTAAGTCGCTTGTTATGATGAAATAATAGATTTTTGTTGTTTTCAGTGGATGAGAAATGTCGTACAACATTTCGACCATAAAGAGAAATATTTTTACAGCCTAAAAATTTACTGGATCTTGCATAAATTGGACATTATAGATGTAACCCTTCTTTCTATAACTGGATGATAGTAAACCCTATCAAAGAAGACGAGTTCTTTGTTAAATGGGGTGGAAACTGCGCCTAAACGCCTCATTTATTTAACCAAAGTTTAAAACCTTTTTCGTTACCATTCTGGATTTGGTTGGCAAGAGAAAACGAAAATAAACAATAGGCATCAGCAGTACTAGTGCAGTACGCCATACTGACCCAGGTAATGACCAATTATAAGGTCCGTGCAGGCGGACTTTCAACTGCGTCAGTAAAAAGGCTACTTCAAGCAGCTAATTGGATCAGTGCTCTTAGAACTCATGAGAACATAGTATTTATCTATTAAATACAACAAGGGCTTATGTGGCGCAAACTGATCGATATTTCAATCTCGCTCTCAATAGCCACTAAGTCTTCCGTGATACCGGGATCGGTGACTTGGTACGACACTTGTCTATAAAGATAGCACCACGGACTTAATTCATTGGTAGGATATCAAATTTAGAGGTCAGAACTGCATTCATCCATTACAAACGAAGCATGATAAAGTCGAATCCCTTACCGTAGTTAATGAGGATAGTGTTCCCACTTGTTCATGCATTTCTTTTACGCGCTCCTGCAGGTTCACATCGTCTGATTGTGAACTCTGCTGTGATCTGAAGCTATCAAACCATCTTTGATGTTAAATTCATTTTAGTTTCATGAAAGCTTATTCCATTTCCGGCAAAAACAGTTGAATAGGCGGATGCGTAATCTTTTATGTGGAGTGAAAAGTGAAAGTAAACTGACTCGACCACTTGTGTCATGATGCGATTTGAAAGACGACCGCTGCTTAATCGAAGTAACTGACAATTGAGACATACCGTTATAGTATCTTATCTGTTAATTGCATTGTTTACCATTTTGATAAGAAGTTTTTTGATAGGGGTGAGATTGTTGAAAGTGATCATAATAGAGAATTGAACAATCAGTACTCCTTTATCACAGAGCAATCGTATAGATGTATAGCCCACATTTACTCACGGAGGAAATCAGTGTAAATTTTACGGTAGCGATAGAATTGTATCGAGAACGAAGGACGCAGATGCCCATACAATCTCAAGTTCTTAGGTAATTCGTTTGTGACCGAAAAACCATTAGCCGGTGAAACGATGATTGGTTAGCGCTTATCATTAAACAAGATTCGCTCAACAGATCAGCAAATCTGCAAATAGAACAGGAAATGAACAACACATATCTCTATAGTTTAGCATTGCCGTGCAATTTATTCATTAACGCCATTGATGGACGCGAAATCTTCCAGCCTGAACTGGTTGGTGTTTTGTCAATCTTAAAAGAATTTCCAAATCATTTGCAGGTCCGGAATGGAAATATTTACTATGAATCTGCGTCGAATGTATGCAAGTGAAGGCATATTAGTTATTAGTATTTACAAATGGTCGTGGTACTGATGGTGAACTTGCGTCATTATGGATCCCTCATTCCTAAACAATGGGTAGGAGAGGTTTGTCCCGATTTGGCGGGAGCATTTGTAATTCATTGACAGTGCAATTTACTAGCGCTGTAGTATAACATAGTCAGCTAAATTCTAGTAAAGAAATACTGATAGGAGATAGAAAACTGTCAAGATTTCCAATTCTTGATGGTCTTATAACAGCTATTGATTTAACGACCAATAGAAAAATAGACGCTGAAAGCAATCAGTGTTGCCCATGAGTTTACCTGAAGATGAGTGTCAAGTTCCTTTCTTGGAACAAACCGCTTAGAACTCAGCTGTTGTTGCGTGCTTTATTTCTTACCCATCAAACTTCTACCAGATCAGCACATACTTGATGTCATTCGTGTGATCCTAATCGTTTACGTTTCTCAAAGCAAAACCCGACGGTTGCTTTTGCGATTTCCGTGTATGGGATCAAATTTTTCTTATCGGTAATAAGTTGATAAATTGTAAATTTGAATTTTTCTTTCCATAGATGGATTTATTCTGAAAAGTCGCCTCAAATCTTTTGATAATTCCCTTGAGCGACTCTATCATTCAAATAGGCTTGATTGATGACTCGCGTGGAGTTTTCCATAGATTCTTACGAATGCAAATGATAGAACTGAAAGAAAATTAGTTGAAATCAATTTTTGAACGACGCATATTATTATTTTAATGTTAAACCAATAAACAACCTTATGATACTTTTGTAATACTCAAGATTTCCTATTTTTTACTGTTATTTTGCAGCGCTGTGATGTTTCATATACACCTAGGAGAAGTGAGTGGTGGGCAAAAACTCGGCCTCAAACGGGATTTGAACCCTTGTTCCACGCATACCGATGGCGCGCGCTACCACTACATCACCGAGGCACCGTTCACTATTAGGTTGGAAAGAAAATTTCCATTGTTTGGATGGAATGTCGTTTTTTTCGCATGAATCGTATGTGACTTTCATATCATTTGAAAGGTCTGCTTCTTGCACATCTATTGATATATAATTTGTCTATGTCTGCTGCAGTGCCAAGAAGTACCCAGAACTTGGTCATCGAAAGCGCGCTTTGTTTCAGGGGGCAAAAACTCGGCCTCAAACGGGATTTGAACCCTTGTTCCACGCATACCGATGGCGCGCGCTACCACTACATCACCGAGGCACCGTTCACTATTAGGTTGGAAAGAAAATTTCCATTGTTTGGATGGAATGTCGTTTTTTTCGCATGAATCGTATGTGACTTTCATATCATTTGAAAGGTCTGCTTCTTGCACATCTATTGATATATAATTTGTCTATGTCTGCTGCAGTGCCAAGAAGTACCCAGAACTTGGTCATCGAAAGCGCGCTTTGTTTCAGCAAGACAACGCAAAACCACGCACAACCAAATAGACCAAGGCAAAGTTTGAGAAACTGAACGGAGTTGAGATTCTACCGCATCGCCTTATAGTCGGGACGTTGCTCCATCTGATTACAGCCTTTTCCGACCAATACAACACTTCTTAGAAGGTCGCCGATTTAAATCTTTCGATGAAGATGAAAAAGCATTTCAAGAGTTCTTTGATTTAAAGCCGAAGGAGTGGTACTTCGATCAGATCCGAAAGCTGGTGAAGCGATGGCAAAAAGTGGTGATCAATGATGGCCTGAATTTTGAAGACTAGTTGTTGTTGTTGCTTGTTGTCTGAATATATGCATAAATTTTGAACATTTTATCGAACAATGGGAACTTTTTTCTAACCTATTATCACATTCTTCAGTGTCTTCATCATAGCTGAAAGCCACCAATCTATAACAGGTTTGCTCGAGTAGACAATATGCTCTATAAACCCACCTAAGCTACAGCCATGGTGATACATAATTTTCAATATTCCTCATGTTTTTACTGCGATTTTGCAGTGTTATGACATTCCATATATACCTATGAGAATTGAATGAGCAACAACTCGGTCTTAGACAGGAGTTGAACCCATGTTTCACCCATATTGTGGGCGCGTGCTACCACGACACCCCAGAGGCACGATTTCACTACTACTCATTCTCAGTGTGATTCAAGTTCCAATGTGGAGCGGTAGCAATGTAGTATCGATGTTTTCACTCTAATTACAGTTTCCACACAGCACCACTTTTTATGCCAAAATTGTATTGTAAGAGTTGTAACGAACTTTGGCTACTGCTTTTGGGCCGCCTTGATGGCCAACTGGTTTGTTCACACAAAGGAAGAAGAAGCAGCTATTCTTATGCATTTTAATGGCTCTGACGTTGATTATTATCCAAACTCCGCATTATTTAATCCATTGTGAATGCTCAAGCACCCTGTACTGTACGTTTTCATACCTTGGTGATCTACGCCTCAGAGTGACATGAATTCTTGTGCTAAAATGATGCTTAGGCTTGTAATTTTACACGATCCGTTAAATTTTGCTCATAAATTCTTCGGGATTTCAAAATAAATAATATTTTTCTACTTTCCTGTGTTACTTCAGTAACCACTACCACCGTTATTAGTTGAGTTCGTTCAATAATTTTTTCACAATATTTGATCCGTCTCAGTTTTTTTCACTGTGCCGATTCCAGTAGTTCTAGCATTCAATTCGTTTTTCATCTTCTCCCTGAACGTTGCGAATTATTGGCTGTGCACTTTTCTTACAATCTCGAGGATAGTCTGGCTAGGGCGTGAGCGTTCCTTGTTGATTACCAGAGGGTGGTTGGGTGGCAATCTCCTGCGCGCCGCGATGAGTATCACAATCACTCGGCCAAGCTTCCTCCTCCCTCTTAACTACTAATCTTTCATTGTTTCATATTTTTTATTTTCAATACTCTTCAAAGTTGAACCGTCTTAGAATAAGCTCGTTGAAGTATCACAAAGTTCAGAAGAAACTTCAGCTTTCTAACAGAGTCATCCACATTAATAAACAATCCTCGCCATTTTTAGCACATTAGCACAAACTTATGTAGAAAATCACCACCGTCATCAAAGAAATGCAGTCATAAATCGACAAACCATTTTAGATCAGTGTTGTCAGGTACTCAAAGAAAACAAAATGAAGCTTGATCTCTGAGCAACTTGCAAATTACTCCATTCACAGTAAACGCCATTTCTATAGTGAAGCTCCTAGTTCCATCCAACTAGTTCGCGTTCTGCAGCCTTCCCTCATTATTAGTAGGATTTAAATGGCGAATCACCTGTTTTCAGACACTGTGGTATTGAATTTTGAAGAATGACAGAAAATTCAAGTCGTTTACGGCCTTTTTAGAAGCTATATTATGGGTTTGCTCAAAGACACCTGAAACTCTTCCACTTTGTTTCATGGCAAGAAACGATTTCGCTAGTGTATCGTCAAATAAAGTTCTCAGTAACCATAGAAAAGGTTTAGATCCAATATATACTTGAAATCACCTATTCAGTGTTTCAAATTGACTTTGATCGTATGCGCTTAAATATAGAAACATGTGCTATAGACAGATTCCATTGAGAAATATTTTGAAAGAGGAAAGGACGAATGTAGTTGAACGTGGTAAGTGCGTTGATAGAACTCCGTTCCGGTTGATTTGCTTGGGCTTATATTTCAGATATTAGCCAAGAAATACTGTCTAATGCAACGCTATTTCACTATCATGGACTATTTCACTTTTTCATGAAAGTGTGATTGTGCAAGTTTGAGTTCTAATTATTGGTACATTAGTCAGAGCACAAAAACCCTTATCGTGTGTAGAATATTGAACTGCGATAGCACAACTCAGAACATTAATTATAAGGTTGTTAGTCGAAATGTAGGTATGCTAAAACCGTGAACGGAATATTAAATACTGATTTGACTTCTGTATGGTTACAAAAACGGAGTTCGAACAGCGGAAAGTTGTATTAGATACTGCCATTATTATTGCTACAGGAACTATATTATTACTATTTTAATATGACTATAAAATATTCTCTTTGTTAGCAGCGTATGTCCGAGAAGGTAAATCTCCCAGATTAAAAACGTGCTCTCAACTACACCACTGACCATTGAGCGAATTTGGAGAAATGCGAAAGGCAGTGCAAGAACCACGATTAATCGGTTTTACAGAAAGTTTTGCTCGTCTGATTTATTTCGTCATCATGTTTTTGAAATTTTGATTGTAGACACTACTTCATGGCTATTAATCAGACTATACTAATTCTTATTTGTGCGAAGTTCTCAATAATGCGTATAAAAAATGTCGTCTGGCAGTCGGAGTTTTTCGCACTTCAAAGTTATACATGCAAAAAAAAAATTTATAAGCGTGTAGAGAAAATCATGGAGCATTAGAATAATAAAATAATTCTGAATTTTTGCTTAAACAAAAGAGCTCTTATCAAACTACAGCACATCGCGTGCGATATCTCTCATGCTGTCGTCCCGAAAGGGTCAAGCTTAATGTGTAGTGGCAACACGTTCTCCCGGTAACACACCACTTCAATTCTTATATGACCTTTCTGAAGTGATACCACTGCTAGAAAAGTAGTATTTAATAGATCGAAGTAGATTCTTTAGACACTGTTGATGAATGAACGAATAGAATCTCCACTGACGGGATGCAAAACTTTACGGACCTTGTCTTAGTAACACCACTAGCCGAATGTTTTCCAAAGTCTTCACAGTTCAAGAGGACCACACGTGCAACCTTTCCACTACAGAATTTGTTAGACGAAATCCAGGGAATTTTTCAAAACAAAAACATTTCACCATTTGTCGTACCTATATATATACATATAAAGCGAAAGAGATAGATAGATAGAAAGATAGAAATAGATGTAGATTTTGAGAGATTTTTGAGCAGCTAGCGTTCTTTAGATAACATAAATTGAGGCGGCTTTCATTTTTAAAGGTAATAATGATCGTCAGGCAAGCTAAAAACATTCGTTACAATATTGTGAGCGCGAAAAGTTCTGAAGTAAAGCTGAGTTACCAAAAACGAGTTCTCAAAAATCAATCGAACATAAAGGTATTTTTAAATGGGCCAGCTATAAGTAATCGACTGTTAATCCCCACAATTTCGAGTGATCTTGTCACTGAACATGCACTGATTTGTTATTTCTGCAGTCTGACATGATATTTTCACCTTGTGCGCGTGGGTAGCAGCTGCGTACTCAATTCCTTTAGATGTAGGGGGTGAATATCCTCTCACAATGAGTTGCCTCAAACGAAACACACCGTGCCGCTGATGAAGCTGAAAGGCTAAAATACGTGTATAGCACTTTACAGGTGTCATAACACACCTCATGAAAGGCTTAGAATATTTGATCAGAGTATATTGTTTTGCGCAAGGTATCAAAAAATAATCGAATATGAAGGTAAAACCAAGTTATTTGACATCGCACCTCATAGATTTTTCAATAACAGCATCAGAAAATGATTAATTTTGCTTGTTAGGAGACTTTCGCTGTTTCCTAACGTATTTTTGCTCCAAATTTCGTAGAAGCATTAATATCTGTTAGCCTCATTTTTCCTTAGGATTATTTAGTCATTCCCCTGAAGATTTCTTCATTAACGTTGAGTCCATGAGATACGATCATCTTCAGTTAGTGGGTTTTTTACACCCGAGGTCTGTAATTCTTGGCCTTGACAGATTGATGACGATTGTTCAAAAAAGCTGTGGGTATTTCATTGTCTAACACTGACGTAAATATGAATCTGTTGTAAATCAAGGTCACGATCAATTCAGCCGAATGAGTGGATAGTTTCTTATACTTGATCAGGTCTATTCCGTAATTCGCAAATCATTCAAATTTCCATGTGAAGATAAACTGTAAAAGTAAAATCTAGAGAAAACGGCATATCTCTTTTTCTTTTGCTTTCGATAGAGAGAGGATAATCGTAGCACATTGTTAACTGATTTCGTTAAAGCGCCCATGTGAAATCTACATAACGAACTACAGCTTAAACAGAATCGTTAACTTGATCCGTGTAGGAACGATATCGATTGTAGGTGAGAGGAAAATGAGGTCAACTGTTTGTAAGGTGTTCCACGTTTTCCAAGGTGTAGTTCCGCTTTGGTTAAGTGACTGAAATGCTAAAAAAAAGTGACGAGTTATTTCAATGTGACGCTTTTTGTCGTTTTCTCTTGAATATGAAATTGCAAAGTAGGTGGTTGACGAGCTCTAAATTCAGAGAATTTAGTGACTATTCATTTATCAATTCC